TTGCCACCTTGGGTGTTGGACCGGGCCCTTGCCTGTATCGACGAGTTGGTCGGCCTTCCTCAGGCGTCGCTCGCTAGCCATCGCTTTGGCTATGGTGGAAAGTTGCGGCGCGTGAAAGGAGAAAAGCTTGGCGGCGCGACAATAGCTTTGGGTGAGGAGAGTTAATTGCACAGAAGTACCACAATTCGGACATCACATGTAGATTGGTACCACGATTGCTAATTTTTGTGTGTCAGTACCAACATTGCTTAAGATTTTTGCAAATAGATCTAAACTGCGTATAAACACGTATTGACGGTGTATCTGACCAGCGGGGCCCGCCCGTCAGGTGCCAACGTGGCATGTTTTTTGCAGAAAACCCCCTTACGTTGTATGTAATCACAAAAATACCCAAATTTTTTGCGGGAAAAAGGCTCCATGAGAGAGGCTTTCTTTTTTTTCGTAATTTCCATCAACGAATCTGGACTGGTTTGAAATTTTCCGTCACTTGAAGAAATAAAGAAACGAAAAGAAAAATCTGGCGACGGCGAGAATCGATCCTGCGACCTGCGGCCCTCGGGCGACACGAGCTAACCACCACGCCACAGCGGTGCTCGCGTTCGGTACAAGGCGTCCGCTTTTTTATACTATTACCGAAGCGCTGGGCCGGCCCACCGAGGCCTGCATTTTTTTTCCGTTTCGCACTTAACTGCCGTGCATTTCTTATTCTTTAGTTCTTCATGGATACGCAACACATATCCTCCCGGTGAGCCTGTATCCACCAGTTTTTGGTAGATTCTACAACCTTTCCTGAACCAGTTTTCTTCTCTTCTTTATTTTCTCTTCTGGTTTCTCTTTATTTTAACTTTTTCCCTTTTCATTTCTATTTTCTATTTTTATTTTTATATTCTTTTTAATTTTTTACCTTTTCATCTTAGTTTTTTCTTCTCTTATTTTACGTTTGTGTTTGTTTCAATTTTTTCCTTTCATTATTTATTTTTCTTTATCTTCTTTCTTTTCCACTTATGGAAACATCTTTCAAATTCATGCACATTTTCTGAATAATGAAAAAAATCAAAATAATAAACATTATTTGAAATCATGGTCCTTTTTAAAAATTAGTGAACATTTTCTGAAACCATGAACATTTTTGGAATTAAAATATCATCATTTGAGATTTGGTGACAATTTTCGGAATTCATGAACATGTTTTTATTTTTGGTGAACATTTCTTGAACGCGTGAACATTTTTTGAATCGATGAACTTTTTTTGAAACTAGCAAAGTGGCCCGCTCGATGCGCGGGGGCTGGAACTTTAGAATGTTTAATACAGAAAACATCTTATTTAATTTGTGTAAACAAAAATTGGAACCAAATCTGATGATGTTTATAAATATAAGTATTTTTGTAAATATAGTTTTCTCTTAGGTATGTTTGTTTTTCTCATTGAATATATTTCTATTATGATGAGTCACATTCAATCTAAATCTTGTATAATTTTTTTTATAGTTTTATCATGTTTCTATTTCAATTTATTCTTGAAATACAAATTTAGTGGTTCTTATTGTTTATTATTATGTGTAGGCGCATATGTATATTTTCTAACATCATGTAAGAATGACATGTTCACACGCAAAAAAGAAAAATGTAAGAATGACATGTTAATTTTGTAGTTGGAGTGATGAATGTACCTGTAATATTTTTCACTTCGGTGGGCATTACCTCGAACACGCGCGCCAGTTAAGTGCGAAAAAAAAATGCAGGCCTCGGTGGGCCGGCCCAGCGCTTCGGTAATAGTATAAAAAAGCGGACGCCTTGTATCGAACGCGAGCACCGCTGTGGCGTGGTGGTTAGCACGTGGCGCCTGAGGGCCGCAGGTCGCTGGGTCGATTCCCGCCGTCGCCAGATTTTTCTTTATTTCTTCAAGTGACGGAAAATTTCAAACCAGTCCAGATTCGTTGATGGAAATTACGAAAAAAAAGAAAGCCTCTCTCATGGAGCCTTTTTCCCGCAAAAAAATTGGGTATTTTTGTGATTACATACAACGTAAGGGGGTTTTCTGCAAAAAACATGCCACGTTGGCACCTGACGGGCGGGCCCCGCTGGTCAGATACACCGTCAATACGCGTTTATACGCAGTTTAGACCTATTTGCAAAAATCTTAAGCAATGTTGGTATGTAATCACAAAAATACCCAATTTTTTTGCGGGAAAAAGGCTCCATGAGAGAGGCTTTCTTTTTTTTCGTAATTTCCATCAACGAATCTGGACTGGTTTGAAATTTTCCGTCACTTGAAGAAATAAAGAAACGAAAAGAAAAATCTGGGAATTCCAAAAACCAGCGAGAGGTTCCCCACTCTTCTTTGATCCGTCTGAGGGCCGAGTGGGGGTTTTCTGCAAAAAACATGCCACGTTGGCACCTGACGGGCGGGCCCCGCTGGTCAGATACACCGTCAATACGCGTTTATACGCAGTTTAGACCTATTTGCAAAAATCTTAAGCAATGTTGGTACTGACACGCAAAAATTAGCAATCGTGGTACCAATCTGCATGTGATGCCCGAATTGTGGTACTTCTGTGCAATTAACTCGGGTGAGGAAGAAGATGAGTGCGGGGAAATGAGAGCGCAAAGTTATCTCTCGCATTACCTCCCCCCTTTTATAGGAACTGGGGAAAATGGAGCGGTGGTAGCTTAGCGCTGCCATGCGGCAACAAATCTTTTCGCATCCCATGATTGAGGGTTAATGACGCGAGGGGGTCGAGGGATTGCTGTTATCCTCATGTGGGGATCGAGGTGCACCCCACGTCTGGATCGAGGTGCACACCCCGGCTTGATATGATACTACGAGGGTGCTTGGATACGTTTTAGTCCCATGACTAAAAGTAGTGGGACTAAAACTTGCTAGCCTCATCCATGCTTGGATACAAATACTAAATAGACTAAAATGAGTTAATGAGCATTTATTATCCTCCAAACCCTCCAATCCCGAACTCGCATGTGTTAAAGGGGAGGAGTTAAATGAGGAGAGAGAGGACCAATCCATATTTTAGTAGGGTTCCCATGACTAAAATTTTTTAGTCTCAAGACTAGTTCTAGCCTCTTTTTAGTCAGGGGTGATTGGAACTTTAGCCTCTAAAAGAGACTAGTTTTAGTCAGACTAAAAATAGTCCCTTAGATCCAAGCATGGCCTAATGCATGATACTACATCTGTAATACACGGTATCATATATTAGTATCATATATGACTACATTTATTGCCATGCATGACACAATGTAGCACATCATTTAATATGATACGGTATCATGATATGATATTCAAGGCTCTCTTTCTTAATTTAATTCTATGCCACCTTATCAAAATTGCTTAGTTGGCATGCAAGATACTACCTATGATATTCCCATTACAACCAGTCTAAGAGCAAGTACAATAGAATGACATAGGCGGGTTGTGAGGATTTAAATATTATATTTCTGATGAGTTGGCGGAGAGATGAGAGAAGAGAAGAGAGAAGAGAAGCATGCTACTCACTAACAGTCGGCTGTTACACGTGCTCCTAGACACTTTGTGAGAGAGTGAGGCGGGTCACATATCAACAAAGTAGTATAAATTTATATGCATCTAATTGTACTAGTTGGCTTAAGGCTGGCTATATATGACATGGCAAAATCATATAGCCAGCAGCTGGCTATACTATTAACCATGCTCTAACCCACTCCCTTATGTTACATGGCCGTCAGGGCAAAGCTAGCACGTGGTTGTGTGGGCCCGTGGATAAGACCGTCCTCACTTGTCAGAACCAGGCATGAGGACTTTTGAGACGTTGTGTGGAAACTTGTCCCGCCCCGTGACGGGCCACACCGGGAAAGCTCTTCGGGAGTGTAGTTCAATTTTCTCTCTTAGACAATTCTAAAGCCGATGTGGTTCAATTCACCTTGGAAGGCACCTCGACAAGTGGACGTCAGCTGGATGAAGACACTAATCGGGAGACTATTGTTAAACTAGTTTCAAGATGGGCGACTGAAGACAATGAAGCAGCTTGGAAGGAACGAGGTGCTGCCGTTTCAAGACTGGTTCATGGGCTATTGATGGTGTCCCGGCTAAGGGGCCTCTCATGACGACGGTTCCCGGCTTGGGAGGCCGTGCTGAGGGACCCTTTGTCGGTTCCGTCCTGGACCACTTTGGGTGGCCTATGGAGAAATACACGGTGACTCTACAAGGCTTGACGTACAAGACAAGAAGACAAACTCGTAGAGAGTTCTACCACCTTAGACGTAGTCGTCCTAGTTGTCTAACCCTAGGATCCCTGGTATGCTATATAAGCCGAGGGCCGAGCTCGTCGTAGAACACACTAGAATCTCTCGGTACTTTGTATTTTGTGTACACCCCAACACAATAAAGCAAAGAGCAGGATGTAGGAGATTATCTTCACCGTGAGAGCCTGAACCTGGGTAAAAACCCTTGTCCTTATTATCATCCCGCCAAGCCTACTTAGGATACCCTATCGAGAGATCTGTTAAATTTAGCTCTGATAGCTTATGCTAAGACACCCGAGACCCCAATGGGGCGGCCGGCGAGGAAGTGATGAATTCCAGTTGGCTTTGTCAGTTTAATTACTTTTAATATAGGGTTTTAGTTAAGTGATGAACTCCGGCTGACTCTTTTGAATAAGATTGTACTAAACTTAATATCCTATCTGTGTCGAAATTGTGTGTTTTATATGTGTATGATGATCTATGTAGTTTGCATAATCTGTATGAATTTGAGGCGGGTATTTGAGAAACACGATTGCGGAGATGTTTGATCTTGTCTATGGACACACCCGAACGCATCCGCGGAGCATGGAGCCCCAAATTAGGTAACCATGGTTACAGATGCTCTTTTAGTTTAAATTTTCATTTCATAGCAACGACGTATAATATTTTCAATTTTTCATCCACGTCCTCATCGAAGTATGGTTCGATGGCATCTTGGTGGGTGGTAAGCTTCGTAGGAGAAAGCTGAGCCACATCTCCGTACTGCCATGGCCTCCTTCCCTCTCTTCTCTCTCCTCCTCTTCTTGGCCCACCTCTCTCCCCACGCGTCGTCGGCGGCGGAGCCGGTTCTGGCGGGTGACCTCCTGGACGCGGCCCACGCTTCGGGGTTCGCCGCGTGGCTGCGCAGCGTGCGGCGGCGCATCCACCAGCACCCGGAGCTGTCCTTCCACGAGTACCGCACAAGCGAGCTCGTCCGCGCCGAGCTGGACACGATCGGCGTGTCCTACTCCTGGCCCGTCGCCCAGACCGGTGTGGTGGCCACGATCGTCGGCGGCGGCGGCGCTGGGCCCGTTGTCGCGCTCCGGGCGGACATGGACGCGCTCCCCTTGCAGGTATGCACGCTACCCGGTTCTGAGATGTTTTCTTTGAACTAGGGTCGCAAGTTTATTTTCCAACAATTTGATCAACTGCGAATTGGCACAACATTCCGTTGACCACGCTTTTCAAAGTATGCCACTTAATCACCACTCCATGATTTTGCCACAATGAGAAAGAGATGAGAAAATTGTAATCAGGGAAAGAAGACAGGTCCAATCCAAAGAAGAGGTAAACTGAAAAGATCATGCTTATCAGCCTGTGGCGTTCTGAGAAAGGAGTTTGTGGTAGCCTGTCTCCTCTATCCCCTGGCACCCAGCAGTACCTCACCACCCATACTTTTTCATATAATTTTGAAGCTTCAATCTATTTTATTTTTGAATCAGAGAGTCCAATTTTATGACCTACTCCAGTTATGACCTGTCTCCTCTATCCCCTGGCACCCAATATGCAAACAAATCATAAACTGAAATTTTGGATCAAAAGATAGAATTGACACAAACTTTGGAATCACTTGAAAAAGAAAGGGTGGGTAGGCCAGTATTGCACCTTCTACTCCAAAACACACCCCGCCAACTGCTCATTTACAGGTGGGCCATTATCCAAGTACCCCACATATCATAGAGTAAACTAAGTGGGTGGAGGGGAGGGAAATATATTTTATCTGACACAGTATAGGAAGTACGAATAATTGTAAATAGCATTTTTTGGTCTTTTTTGTGCACGGATATTGTGGGATGAGCGGACGGCTCCTACTTGCATGGGACACAGTAGAAACAACAATCTCTTGGCGTTCTGCCTATGGAATTATACGTGCATATGTTCTAGAAAACGGTAGGCATACTCAATCGATCAACCTCCTTGATCATTATGCGGTTTTACCATCTTGATTATATGCATCAAATTGTACATTAGTGTTCTAATTAAATCCTGGCAACAGTTGTTGGCCAGTTCCAACATGTATCTCGTCCAGTAATGTTCTAACTAAAATATTTGCATTGTTGTTCTGTTAGGTGGTGAACTGGTTACACTAACTAAGAAACCAATCCGGACAATAGCCTATAGCAATCCTACATCATATCCATCATGTCATCATAGAATTGAATGAATGTTAACTAATCTAGAAGTGGGGCAAATATTGTAAGCATGACCATGGAGAAAACAAAAATATTATCTCCACTGGTAAATATAGGTGATAGAAAGCGTTTAGTCAAAATTATGTAACTTTGAGACCTATATATAATATTGGTCATTGCTGAGATGATTGTTTCGAATATCATTATACTTATCATGAAAAATATTTTCTTAACATCATAATATTTTTACTTTTTTGAGCAAGTCATAATTTATTCATTGCTAACATATCTATATTAAAAGATACTCCCTCCGTTCCAAAATACTTGACATGGTTTTAGTTCAAATTATTTTGGAACAGAGGGAGCAACATTCAAAATAGAATGTTGGAGATAAGTAACAGCCAAATTTGAACATCTTAGAATGGTTATGAAGGAATAGTATTCTACTATTGGTGCTATTTCCGGCAAGAATCGTATACCTAGACGGAAGGAGTGAACATTGAAGCACTACTATCCGTATTTCCGTTAAACGAAGATTTTGCATATCGTTTCGTCAGCCGTTTATACACCTTTGACAGTGCCCTTCATCACACACTTAACAATTATACTTCTCTCACCACTTCACAGGAATTGGTAGATTGGGAATACAAAAGCCAGGAGAGTGGGAAAATGCATGCTTGTGGACATGATGCTCACACATCAATGCTTCTCGGAGCTGCTAAGCTACTTCATTCTTGGAAGGATCACATCAAGGTATTAGCCATTGTGTGGTCCTCCTAACACCATATTTCTGTAACCTAACTCGGTAAATCCTAGTTGACGCTCGCGTCAACTAGGGGGGAGGCAGCGCCCGTAGCCGATCAAGGTGGGCTGACCCAATTCGGCAGCGTGCGCTGCGTTCGTTCGCTGGCTTCGTCTTTTTGTTCGTTTATGTTGTTGTTTTGCAAGACTTTTCCTTTCCTATTCTTTCAGGGTTTTTTTTTACGTTTTTTTGTCTGTATTTTTTTTTCTTTTCTTTTTTCTTTTTTTGAATACATGGTGAACGATTCTTTAATACACGGTGAACATTTTTTGAATACACAGTAAACATTTTTGTAACATATGTTGAACATTTTCTTGACACGCACTAAACTTTTTCATAATATACGGTCAACTCTTTTTAATATACAATGAGCATATTTTTAGCATACACTAACTTTTTTAATCTCAGAGGAGAAAAACCCGCTAACTTCAGAGTGGGTCGGCCCATTTGCCCTTGCTTTTCAGGCGTTGCCTCCCTAGTTGACAACGCGTACAGGCATCCTGTCCAATAGGAGGTCTCACCTAACTCACGATAGTTGCTTTTTGTTTTGGTCAGGGTACCGTCAAGCTTGTCTTTCAGCCAGCAGAAGAAGGATATGCCGGGGCTTACCATGTCCTAGAAGAAGGTATTCTAGATGATGTGTCCGCCATTTTTGGTCTGCATGTCGACCCAAGTCTTCCAGTGGGTACCGTCGTCTCCAGGCCAGGGCCATTCATGGCAGCATCGGGACGGTTTTTGATAACGGTCACCGGGAAAGGCGGTCACGCAGCAATGCCTCACCATGCTGTCGACCCCATCGTCATGGCATCCTCTGCCATCATCAGCCTCCAACAAATCGTAGCTCGGGAAATTGATCCCCTCGAAGCCGCGGTATGTGATGCGCATAGAATGCGTGTACAAGCTTGCATTATACTGTCTCAAATGTCCAGCCTATGTACGTTTATCTTAATCTGTGCATCAGATAAGAGGTGTTCCTTGGTGAATGATATGGTATTGCTTACGTATTTCAGGTGGTCTCAGTAACATTCATGGAAGGAGGTGATGCTTACAATGTCATTCCTGAGTCAGCTTGCTTCGGTGGCACCTTCAGGAGCTTGACAACAGAAGGTCTGTCATATCTTAAGAAGAGGATCAAGGAGGTAAATCAATCAAATAAACACTTTCCATCTCCAACATATCTCAGAAGCCGAGCTTAAAATAAAGATCTGCAAACCGGTAACTTATATGCTTCTTTGGAAGATTGTGGAAGCGCACGCCGTCGTGAGCCGCTGCACTGCCAGCGTCGACTTCATGGATGAGGAGCGCCGGCCATACCCAGCCACCGTCAACGACGAAGGGATGTACGATCATGCCAGATCAGTGGCAGCGGCTATGTTTGGAGAAGGCCACGTCAAGATAGGTGGCCCAATCATGGCCGCGGAGGATTTCTCGTTCTACACGCAGAGATTCCCAGGGGCATTTTTCATGATAGGAACCCGCGACGAGACACTGGCAACCGCGGTGCATCCACTCCACTCCCCCAACTTTGTGATCGATGAGGGTGTGCTCCCGGTGGGAGCGGCCTTCCATGCTGCTGTGGCGATGGAGTACTTGAACAAGCGCGGAACCGTGTCAAACTAAACTAAATTACTGATGTTCGCTTGAAATTTAGGATGCCGCAGTTGGCAGTCTGCCGATAATTGTTAGGTCGGGTGCGGGCATTCATAGGTATGAACATAATAGTTGTTAGGATGTGATTGCGACATGGAGCTAAGCTTATGAGTGTTTACTGTTGTAAGAGTCTAACCTCACTTTTCATTGTGCAAAGCTTTGCACGGTGTGAGTTGGCCTGGTTATGCAACTCCTTCCATTCGAAAGACAACTCACAAAGTAAACGTTAGTCTCCACTTTTTGATTGAATATTTTTTTTGATTGATTATATTGATTTGGGTATAAAATATTAAATTCATGCTCCAGCCAGTTACTCCAAAAGTCCGAACTAATGGAAAGAGGCGGGCAATATATTTCAACACTCCCCCTCACGTGTAGGCTATTTTGGTCCTTGGACGTGGGATCGATGTAGGCCACAGAATCATTTTATTTAATACTGGGTTGAGGGCAATATATTTCAACACAAGACACTATTATCCTTTTGATAGAAAGAGTACCTTATAATTTCCACCTTTAACCCGCATTGAAATCCGTAACTTTTCTGAGATTAAATGCACAGAATCATCACAATCATGTCACAATTAGCGAAACACCATCACTTCGAAACGCGAAAAACCATCACTTTACGAAATGTGGCATTTTGGATCGCACCGAATTTTTAACAGTGCCAAAAAACATTGACCTATTTTCTGGGCACGTTTTGATGTGTCGAATCCCTCGTGAGCCGACAACGACAACGGTGCGGCGTAAACGACCGTTAACTGCTCTGTCGGAAGTTGATGGGTCGGAACGAACCCGAGCGCTCTCCCCCACACCCACCCCACACTCTCTCACCTCTCTCACGGGGCGTGGCGGCGGCGACATCTGTTGAAGGCCGTGTCGGATCCATTGACGATGGCGTGGTGGGTACAGAGCATCAAGCACGGATGGCGGCATGGCAGGGGGCACCCGCAGCGAGGAGGAGGACTGTTGCGGCAGTAGCATATTCCGTTCATCGCCGCCACTGTCGGCGGCGGCGGAAGTCGCCCGCGGGGTGGTGGAGGAGTCACCCACTGCAAATGTGCCCCATGCGTGAGCTACATTCCCCTCTAGAGCGCCCCCTCTCTATATATTCATTTCGTTGCTGCAATTTAAGGTTCTAGATTGGAATGTAGGGTTCGAAAGTTGCAAATATATTAATAATTAGTCATGATTATGAAATATTATTCGTTAGCTAATTAATACGAGTTTACGAATGTTTCTATAATTTAGAATTCTGAATTAATTGAATGTTGCTGTCCTGTCTGGCTGAATTTACTATTAGCTTATGTTGTCTGGATATTTTAGGGTGTTCCATTTGTTCGAATTTCAAGTTTCTGTCTTTCTGAATGTACTGAGTGTTGTTCTTAATTTAGGGTTCTTATCTGTCTATTGTGCCGAGTTACTTAATGTTGCTCTGAATTTAGGGTTTCTGTTTGTCCGGATTTTTTAATTTCTGAATGTTTCTTTGGAATGAGTACTCATTTAGAAATGTTGATGCAATATTAATCTTAATCTACAATTGCTAATTGAATATTATTATACTTTCCATTTGTAGTTAGGATCATGGTGACATTTACAACGTGAGGTTCCAACTCTATGGTAGGGATAACATTGACATGACAATGTGTAGCTCTCGAATTACATACGCCAATCTGTTAGCTATTCTT